TCTGCCTACTGCAACACACTCTGCCTACCACAACACACTCTGCCTACAGCAACACACTCTGCCTACCACAACACACTCTGCCTACCACAACACACTCTGCCTACAACAACACACTCTGCCTACCACAACACACTCTGCCTACAGCAACACACTCTGCCTACCACAACACACTCTGCCTACTGCAACACACTCTGCCTACCACAACACACTCTGCCTACTGCAACACACTCTGCCTACCACAACACACTCTGCCTACCACAACACACTCTGCCTACTGCAACACACTCTGCCTACCACAACACACTCTGCCTACCACAACACACTCTGCCTACCACAACACACTCTGCCTACTGCAACACACTGCCTACCACAACACACTCTGCCTACCACAACACACTCTGCCTACCACAACACACTCTGCCTACTGCAACACACTCTGCCTACCACAACACACTCTGCCTACCACAACACACTCTGCCTATCACATCACACTCTGCCTACAGCAACACACTCTGCCTACCACAACACACTCTGCCTACCACAACACACTCTGCCTACTGCAACACACTCTGCCTACCACAACACACTCTGCCTACTGCAACACACTCTGCTTACCACAACACACTCTGCCTATCACATCACACTCTGCCTACCACAACACACTCTGCCTACTGCAACACACTCTGCCTACCACAACACACTCTGCCTACCACAACACACTCTGCCTACCACAACACACTCTGCCTACTGCAACACACTCTGCCTACCACAACACACTCTGCCTACCACAACACACTCTGCCTACTGCAACACACTCTGCCTACTGCAACACACTCTGCCTACTGCAACACACTCTGCCTACCACAACACACTCTGCCTACCACAACACACTCTGCCTACCACAACACACTCTGCCTACAGCAACACACTCTGCCTACCACAACACACTCTGCCTACTGCAACACACTCTGCCTACCACAACACACTCTGCCTACCACAACACACTCTGCCTACTGCAACTCACTCTGCCTACTGCAACTCACTCTGCCTACTGCAACACACTCTGCCTACTGCAACACACTCTGCCTATTGCAACACACTCTGCCTACCACAACACACTCTGCCTATTGCAACACACTCTGCCTACCACAACACACTCTGTCTACTGCAACACACTCTGCCTACCACAACACACTCTGCCTACCACAACACACTCTGCCTACTGCAACACACTCTGCCTACTGCAACACACTCTGCCTACCACAACACACTCTGCCTACTGCAACACACTCTGCCTACCACAACACACTCTGCCTACTGCAACACACTGCCTACCACAACACACTCTGCCTACCACAACACACTCTGCCTACCACAACACACTCTGCCTACTGCAACACACTGCCTACCACAACACACTCTGCCTACCACAACACACTCTGCCTACCACAACACACTCTGCCTACAGCAACACACTCTGCCTACCACAACACACTCTGCCTACTGCAACACACTCTGCCTACCACAACACACTCTGCCTACAGCAACACACTCTGCCTACCACAACACACTCTGCCTACTGCAACACACTCTGCCTACCACAACACACTCTGCCTACCACAACACACTCTGCCTACTGCAACACACTCTGCCTACTGCAACACACTGCCTACCACAACACACTCTGCCTACCACAACACACTCTGCCTACCACAACACACTCTGCCTACTGCAACACACTGCCTACCACAACACACTCTGCCTACCACAACACACTCTGCCTACCACAACACACTCTGCCTACTGCAACACACTCTGCCTACCACAACACACTCTGCCTACAGCAACACACTCTGCCTACCACAACACACTCTGCCTACCACAACACACTCTGCCTACAACAACACACTCTGCCTACCACAACACACTCTGCCTACAGCAACACACTCTGCCTACCACAACACACTCTGCCTACTGCAACACACTCTGCCTACCACAACACACTCTGCCTACTGCAACACACTCTGCCTACCACAACACACTCTGCCTACCACAACACACTCTGCCTACTGCAACACACTCTGCCTACCACAACAAACTCTGCCTACCACAACACACTCTGCCTACCACAACACACTCTGCCTACTGCAACACACTGCCTACCACAACACACTCTGCCTACCACAACACACTCTGCCTACCACAACACACTCTGCCTACTGCAACACACTCTGCCTACCACAACACACTCTGCCTACCACAACACACTCTGCCTATCACATCACACTCTGCCTACAGCAACACACTCTGCCTACCACAACACACTCTGCCTACCACAACACACTCTGCCTACTGCAACACACTCTGCCTACCACAACACACTCTGCCTACTGCAACACACTCTGCCTACCACAACACACTCTGCCTATCACATCACACTCTGCCTACCACAACACACTCTGCCTACTGCAACACACTCTGCCTACCACAACACACTCTGCCTACCACAACACACTCTGCCTACCACAACACACTCTGCCTACTGCAACACACTCTGCCTACCACAACACACTCTGCCTACCACAACACACTCTGCCTACTGCAACACACTCTGCCTACTGCAACACACTCTGCCTACTGCAACACACTCTGCCTACCACAACACACTCTGCCTACCACAACACACTCTGCCTACCACAACACACTCTGCCTACAGCAACACACTCTGCCTACCACAACACACTCTGCCTACTGCAACACACTCTGCCTACTGCAACACACTCTGCCTACTGCAACACACTCTGCCTACCACAACACACTCTGCCTACCACAACACACTCTGCCTACCACAACACACTCTGCCTACAGCAACACACTCTGCCTACCACAACACACTCTGCCTTCTGCAACACACTCTGCCTACCACAACACACTCTGCCTACCACAACACACTCTGCCTACTGCAACTCACTCTGCCTACTGCAACTCACTCTGCCTACTGCAACACACTCTGCCTACTGCAACACACTCTGCCTATTGCAACACACTCTGCCTACCACAACACACGCTGCCTATTGCAACACACTCTGCCTACCACAACACACTCTGCCTACTGCAACACACTCTGCCTACCACAACACACTCTGCCTACCACAACACACTCTGCCTACTGCAACACACTCTGCCTACTGCAACACACTCTGCCTACCACAACACACTCTGCCTGCCGCAACACACTCTGCCTGCCGCAACACACTCTGCCTGCTGCAACACACTCTGTCTACCACAACACACTCTGCCTACTGCAACACACTCTGCCTACCACAACACACTCTGCCTACCACAACACACTCTGTCTACCACAACACACTCTGCCTGCTGCAACACACTCTGCCTATTACAACACACTGTAATGCCCAGAGAAAGTACATCCATGACTCCCCATGGGAACCTCCTTGGTAAGGTCAGGCAGGTGACCTTACCAAGGTCACCTGCTACACCCTAGAATTATTTCCTGGCTACACCCTAGTCACCTTGTTCATATTTACGAATAATTCTGATAGTCTTGGCAAACAAACTTAATGATACATCTTGAGTGTTTTTGCACACTCCATGGGGAGCTGACTCCTATAAGTGCTGACCAACTGGTTAGGTGTGCTAAACAAAATTTCTTGTGTAGGCTGAATCAGCTGGGAACAGGACCACACTAAAACTTTCCCACAAGAGTTGCAACGCCTCCCCCTGATTCGGGGCATGGCAAAAGAGTGTATATATATATATATATATATATATATATATATATATATATATATATATATATATATATATATATATATATATATATATATATATATATATATATATATATATATATATATATATATATATATATATATATATATATATATATTATATATATATATATATATATATATATATATATATATATATATATATATATATATATATATATATATATATATATATATATATATATATATATATATATATATATATATATATATATATATATATATATATATATATATATATATATATATATATCCCTATATGTGAGTTAGGAGAGAGAGAGAGAGTGCTGGAGGCAGAGGTAGTGTGGGCTGCAGGTCATCAAGCGGGCCTCAGGAGACAGTGACTTCACCCAGGTCGTAGAAGCAGGACCCAGAAGGTAATGTGTGTTATCTTTGATATTTTCCATGTGTGATGTCTAAATAATTGGCAGTGTTAGGGGAGGGACTTATAGTTTGGTGAATATCATATTTTGTTCTAATTAAACCTAAGTTAAACATTCCATATGTGTCAATTAATGAAACCTCCTAATTCCTCCGAGTTCTGTTTTGTTAACAACTGGTCAGTAGTTATTGACAGTTAAAAATGGACTCTCAAAGCCAAGCAATGCCTCTTTCCTCATTGCTTGATATAGCTAAGTGACAGGCAAGATGGTGGCAGTGGTTTAATTAATAAGTTCTGTGTGTAGCATTTCCTTGGACAGTTACCATTGGTTCCGGTTGTTATCATCCGTGACACCATCTTATTTCAGTTCATATTACATTGCATCTAAATTACCAGTGTTTCAATTACTAGTAACACCAAGTTTTACCTCAATAAAGTGTTACCAAGTGCAACCAGTAGGAAGTGTTACTCAGTATTAATCAGTATGTTCTAGGGTTAATATAATCTAATGTTACAACACCTTGCCAGCGCAACTCACCCAGCCTACCGCAACACACCCTACCTACCACAACACACCCTCGACCGCAACACACCCAGCCTACCACAACACACTCTGCCTACTGCAACACACTCTGCACAAACACTTCATTACCAACAACAATACTGTTGTCTGTTCTCTTTTGAGCGTGGCTGTTGGTTTAGCAGGGTCAGGTCGAAGAGTCCAAGCAGCTGTGCAACAATTGACGAATGCTGATATGAAATTTCTGTAGCAGATATCCAGCTCATTGTAATGCTCGTATCTCTAGCCCTGGCGTGATAAATAACAGCCCCAGTCAGCTCCAGCGACTACACCTAACAGTGTGACCAGATCGACACTAAGAAGGGCCGGGAACCTCCTCGCATCCTGACACCCCACGAACAGGTAAGGATGATACTGGCGCATGATCTTTCTCCCCCTGGGGGGAGTGGTCTCAACGCAAGATGCAGGCACCTTAGTAACATGCAAGAAGTGCCACCTTATAAGACACATAACACAGAAGAAGTCCAAAAATAATTAGATGTTTTAAGAATGCACTTAGCATCAGCAAAATAAATTGATTGGTATAGACAAATCTTTCAGTGACGGTATTCGTTAATATAAGCGAATATTAAATGCAGTCCTAGCATCAGGATTATTCCCCACCTATGAACAAATTCACAAGGGACGTGATGAGGGTTCGAACTTACGCCCGGGATGATCCCAGACGCTGCCTTAGTCGACTAGGATTTGTTCATTTGATGCATCACGCTATTGTGATTTCTGTGTGTATTCCCCACCTATTTAAAAAATGTCACTATCAGATTAATTCCAATGCCTGGAAATCCCCTGAACTCAAACAGTAAATTGCAGACTGGTTTTCCTTTTTGAGATACTGGCAAAGTATTCTACAAAATAAATAACCACGGACTCGTCAAGTACGTGGAAGACGAACAAAGGTAAAACTTGAGATAACAGGGGTTTAGACACCACAGAAGGGGCCCATACACCTAAATCCATGATCCATGAACACACACCCAATGCCATGACGAATAAAAGAGCAATGTAATATAATATGAAAGGCTACACAACGTTCATCTATAGATATCCATATATGTTGAAATACACGTGAAGAACCTTACAATACTCGCAATTCTGAGAAAATAGAGCAAATCTGGCTTATATAATAAACACACATCATACCAGCAAGATAGACTATAATGCTGACTATAATCTACATATCTACAACTTTGCCTGTCTATCATCTTTGCTCCCCCCCCCATCAAACCCCATCGGGGGTGGCCGGCCGACTCCGCACATCGTAAAGACTGTGCCACAGCCTGATAAGAATGGCATTTGGACTTATTTCAGTACTAATCTATCAGTGACTACGAACAAATGTGGTCTAGCTCTTTATGTCCCGCCTACTAACCATGTTGTTGTAACGTTGTGGTTCTGTTCTACCCTCTCTACCATTCGACAACTCCTAGTGGTGAGAAGGAAACAGAGTAAATAAGAAAGAGTAAGGAATGTGGGATGAGGATGAGTGAGTAAGGAGGAGGAAAGGATAGAAAACAGGGAAGGTTGGAGAAGGAACTGAGGGAAAGAGAGGTGGGCGAGAATAGAAAACGAGGGGCGAACGGAAAGAGGGAAGGGGAGGAGAGAAGGAGGAGGAGTAGGAATGGAAAGAGGTAGAGATAGCTTAAGAGATAATAATAAATGCTGCCACCACCCTGTCAATCGAAGAGCCTCACACATACTAAACAATGTGACAGGGAAAACTGTTTAATAAATTTACCGAGTGCACACCCCGCGCGTAGCCCGTGGTGTGGAGGGTGCCGCCTTGGGGTGACGGTAAGGGAGAGCGACCACACCTGTTTCGCTCCCTAGTCTGATTTTATTCTATGGAACATTAATAAAGAGGATGAACAAACTCCATGTGTAAACTTTCACAGAACACTTTATTTACCAAATACTTCAAAATTTACTAGTTAAATCATGAAATCTTTAAACACTGTATTTATTCCATAACACTGGAATTGATTAAAAGGAAGGGGGGGGGGGGTGAATACAATTACTCCACACACACACACCTTCAACCATGAACAAATCCACAAGGACCGTGACGAGGGTTCGAACCTACGTCCGAGAGGATCCCAGACGCACCTTAATCAATTGAGCTACGACATGGTATAAGAATTGCCACCAGGAAATTAACTTGACCTACCACGGATCCTGCAGTCTCTCCGAGACACAAACCAGGTTTTTACACAATTCCCCCATGCACCCGAGCTCTGCCAATAAGCTATTCTACCTCTTCGTCTTTACTTTATTACACACAGAAATCACAATAGCGTGATGCATCAAATGAACAAATTAACTAGGGCCGTGACGAGGATGCGAACCTACGTCCGAAAGGATTCCAGACGCACCTTAATCGACTGAGCTATGACAAGGTATAAGAATTGTAACCGGGAAATCAACTTGACCTACAACGGATCCTGCAGTCTCTCCAAGACACAAACCAGGTCTTGACCAGGTAGGTCAAGTTGATTTCTCGGTTGCAATTCTTATACCATGTCGTAGCTCAGTTGATTAAGGCGCGTCTGGGATCCTCTCGGACATAGGTTCGAGCCCTCATCACGACCCTTGTGGACGCTCAACAGACACAAAATCATGCTATTGTGATTTCTGTGTGTAGTGTTACATTCAACCATACTTGCTTAATGGCTCCGACTATACTTATTCATCAAAACACTCTGGTGTACTTGATTGTAATACTAACACTCTTACCTCACTAAGTTCACACAGGGGTGGGTGATAGCTGGTCACCCACCTGGGTGGAAGAGCTGTTTTGATGTTGTAATGTACGATTATGTTACGTTGTTGGGTAGATTAGATACACAGTGTTTTTAGTGGGCTTCATATTTATTTAGTGGTCTTGATTACAGCAGTCGGTTGTTGGCAGTGTCGTAGACGTTGAGACGGAGCTTGGAGTAGAGCAGAGAACTGAGTGAGGCCGGAATCGCGGAGCTCTATACGGGAGAGCGTGGCGGCTCGATGGGCAATCGTGAGTGTCTGAACTCGATGGGGAACGAGAGCGTAGTAGCTTGATGCGGAAGTTTGCTGTCTGCTCTGTGTCCAAGCTGGAGCGTCTTGGGTTCGATTAGAACTGCATATGCCGAGTGCTACATTCTTGAGGTTGAAGAGGTGTGGTAACTCTGAAGCGTCTGTACTGAAGTTAACTGAATCACTGTGGAAATTATACTGATCAATAATCGCTTCTCGCTTGCTTATATTATTGGACTACAGCTCATCTTCCTCCAATAGGTTGGAAGAAATGTTACCTGTAATTAGGGAAAAGATTTGATTGGTGTCATTATTGCTAATGAGAGGTTTGCGTCTCTCATTTGGCTAATGAGTTTGGAGCGAGAAAATTGTTTACATAATTTACTCGCTACAATGTACTCTCCCTTGCAAAGGCTCCTCTCTGACTCACAGGCCCACGCTCAACCTGCCAGGGCGTATGTTACGAATCAGTTAATTACCTGATTCTAAGAATCATATATGCAATAATTTCTTATTTTCCCCTCTCAGTTTAATTGTAGGATGAAATTACATACTATTATGTTTCATTATATGAGTATTTTGTTATGATTTTGTATCATGCTGTCATTTGTCAGAATTTACATTATTCTTTTCTATATTTTGTGGGTTTATCATGATTGAGAGGAGTCAGCTGGCGTCTCTTGGTGTACATGACCGTATAAGGAAATTTTGTCACGGGCAGTGGTGCATGCGTCGTGACCAACTGGGCATTATTGACCAACCCTATAATTATATTCACCACAGTCCCCGTGGTGAAGTGGTAACATACTCGCCTGGCATTTCGCGAGCGCTTTGCCCTGGGTTTGTATCCTGGCCGGGGAGGATTTACTGGGCGTCAATCCTTGACTGTAGCCTCTGTTTAGCCAATAGTGAAATGGGTACCTGGTTGTTAAACAATTTGGCGGATCATATTCCGGGGAACATAGGATTAAGGACTTGCCCGAAATGCTACGCGTGCTAGTGGCTGTAAAAGAATGTAAGAATTTGTATATATAAATAATAATAATAAATATGTATTTTTGTATTGTGTTCATATTACTGAATTATTTTCTATATTATTTAAAGCGGACATATAATGTTTAAATTTATGTTTGGCGTGATTATTCTCAGTATGTCAGTGTCTGAGAGTATTCGTATTTGATATAATTTGGTAACTGTGTGGACGCCATGCTTGCAGGCGTGGGAAAGCTCAGTCGCGTCAGTTGTATGGAGCTCATGGGACCTGGGTTACAGATAAGACTGTTTGGTTACTGTTTTATGTTTATTGTGCTTGATAAGATATCTGGTTAGAATATTAATCATATTATATGCTATCTATCTTGTATAGCATTAATCATTGATCAGTGCTTAGAGGTGTTATTTCACCCCATTGAAGTATAAAGATTATTTTTGGATTGTTCAGTGCTTAATCTATGTTGAGTGTTATTGTTCCCAATCATGAAGTATATTGATGTTGTTAATTAGACAGTTGTGTTTTACTTCCCTAGACATATTTTTGCTAATAATTGTGAGGCCAATTTTACCTAATTTTACAACTGGCAACATGAACCATACCCAGATGCTGGGGTTTTAACAGCGTATGAGTACTGCTGACCTGCAAGTGCCAGCCAGCCTCGCCCATTCTCCTGAGCGCTCCACCACCTCACACTCTGGTTAACATGCACACACACACAACTACTACTCACAATTACAACATGGAACAGTGTAATACACTTGCAGTGTTACACATCTCTCTATCTCCTCCAAAATGAAGCTTTTGTGTGTCATTTGCTTCCTTCATAAGTTACGTCTGACTTGCAGACGAGGAGTCACAATAACGTGGCTGAAATATGTTGACCAAACCACACACTAGAAAGTGAAGGGATGACGACGTTTCGGCCCGTCCAGGACCATTCTTAAGTCGATTGTCTTGAGAATGGTCCAGGACGGACCGAAACGTCGTCGTCCCTTCACTTTTTAGTGTGTGGTTTGGTCAACTTATGTCTGACTTCATTTTATATTACTTACTAGCTGTACCTGGCCACACGTTGCTGTGGCTCAGCAATGCATGTGCGTTGCTGAGCCACAGCAACCTTCCCCTGTCTCTCAGTCCTCCCCACCTTTCCGCCCTCCCCGTCCCATCGTCCTCCCAACCATTCCTCACTCCCCCGTCCCTTCGTCTTCTCAACCATCCCCCATTCCACCATCCCCTCGTCCTCCCAACCATCCCCCACTCCTCTGTCCCCTTGTCCTCCCCACCATTCTCCATTTCCCTGTCCCCTCGTCCCCAACTCCCCTGTTCCCTCGTCCTCCCCACAATTCCCCAACTCCAGTTCCCTAATCCTCCCAACCATTCCCCACTACCTCGTCTGATGTATTTGCAAATAATCTGAGGATTCCATCAGAAAATTGGGGACATCAAATGATCTGATGTTCCGATCACTGAAATATAAGAAAAACAGTTAAAAAACGAAATGAAAAAAAATAAACTATACTCACGAAAAGAACGGTACAGTATGGTAAACAACACAGCTCAATTCCAATGCAATGTCACACAAAATAATTAAATCGAAATCTATGAAAATTTAATTTATCAATGAAATCAGAAATATTGAAATGGAATCGTAACATATTTAGTATAGCATGTGTTGCTCTTACGTGAAACAGATGGCATTGTTTTTTCAAGAAAACCATGTTTTTTACCTGTCACAGGTGTGGCATCTGTACTTATACTCCCGAAATGAATGGTATGGTAAACAATACAGTTCAATTCCAACGCAATGTCACACAAGATAATTAAATCAAAATGAAAATAAATCAAAATCTATGAAAATTCAATTTGTCAATGCAATCAGAAACAATGAAATGGAATCGTAACATATTTTGTATAGTGTGTGTTGCTCTTCAGTGCAACAGATGGAGCTGTTTCTAAAAAACAAAATTTTTTACCTGTCACAGGTGTGGAATCTATACTTATTTTTATGAAATGAATGGTATGGTAAGCAACACAGCTCAATTCCAACGCAATGTCACACAAAATAATTAAATCAAAATGAAAATAATTAAAAATATATGAAAATTAAATTTATCAATGGAATCGAAAACACTGAAGTGGAATCATAACATATTCAGTATAGCGTGTGTTGCCATTACATGCAACAGATGGCACTTTAAAAAAAAAGCGCATGTTTTTACCTGTCACAGGTGTGGCATCTATATAGCAGGTATATAAAAACACGTGCGTATTCGAATGGAACATTGTGTCAAAATTTCAAAGCAATCAGTTTACGTCCATCTGTTGGACGTAAGAGCATTTGTTGCTTTTACGTCCAACAGATGGCACTGTTTAAAAAAAAAAAACATTTTTTCCTTTCACAGGTGAGGCCCGTATATAGTAGGCATGTAAGAACACACGCCTATTCGAATGCAACGTTGTGTCAAAATTTCAAATCAATCGGTAAAGAGGTTTCGAAGATTTCCCTCAGATGAAAAACAGTTTTTCCAAAAACCCATGTTTTTTTTTCCCGTCACAGACGTGACATCTATATAATAAGTTAATAAAAACCTGCTCGGATGCGAATGAAACGTTGCGTGAAAATTTCAAATCAATCAGTGAAGAACTTTCGGAGATTAACGATTTTGAACAAATGAACAATTTCATTTTTATTTTAATAGATTTACAAGAAAATGCATCAGGTTTTGTTGCAATTCTGGTGTATTTAGAATATATTCATATTACCACACAGAAAATAGTTGTCATTTATATGAATAAAGTTTTAAGACAGGAAGATGCACATACTCTCAAAGTCATTAATGTGCATAACGTATCCGGCAAGTCTTGCAACATAATAATTTAGGTAAACATTGACGATTTGTTGTGATTGAGAAGTATTGCGAAGCTTAGAGTTCTTGTAATTAGTGTTGATCTTTTTCTTCCATAGGTGACTTGCCATGAAGATAAATTTGGGATTGGAAGTGATGTATTATCCTCATCCCATCACACAACTGGTTCACTTCCAAGGGCATAGGATTCAACAGCAAACGAGGTCTGGTAATTAAGTGGGTCTTCCTCGTGAGTGACTATATCAGAGTGTTGAAGATATATGCAGTTTTGTTAACGACCGTAAAGTGTACAATGCTCAACGATTAAGTTAACGCAAAATCCGCACACCTCCCCCCCTCCCACCCGAAAAAAAACCTCCAGTGAGCACAGGTTACTCTCTGCAAAGCAGAATATGTATGATATATATCCAAAACAAAAAGTGATATCTTATCAACAGCAATATCAACGTTATCTGATATCAACAGCGTGGAACTAACGAAAAAAGTGATTATTATTTATAATTAAGTGAACAACAGCCCCCCAGGTGGAAAATGTACACCAAGCCGGTCTCAGAATCCTTAACCCCAAGTCGAGGAGAATGCAAGTTCATAATTCCTCGAGAAAGGACCATAATCGTCCGCCTCCATCTTCTTATGTTGTTTCTCTCCGTCGTGGCGGGACTCTCCTACATGTCCTACCTAGTGCTTCTGCTGATAAGGGAACACTGGACACCGTGGGTGCTGCTCTACCCTGTGGCCTTCACTGTCTTTATGGCTCTCGGCATCTGCTGCGTCAACACCTTGCAGCAACTGATCACGCCAGCCTCACCTGAGGACTCGGTCGAGGAAGAATCTAAACTTCTGCAACATGTCTGACTTATTCAAAACACATTAAATTTACATATATGCCAAAAGCAGTATAATGCCTCCTAAAGACGCCTATTGTATCATACAAGAGGATAATTTTTGTATTTAAATTGTATACAACTAAAACAGGTTAAATATTTGCTGGTCTGAAGACTTACGAAAAGGAGTTTGAGAGGCGAATGAATGTGCTGCTGGAGGTTAATGTATCATTGTATGAATATCGACAATGTAGTCAACTACTGTAAGGTAAAAATACGGGTCATGTGATCAGCAGTTGTTTGCCTAAACGCTAACTCTTCTTCAGTAACGGGCGGGTCGGTCGAGCGTCTGTCTCGCGCAATGCAGGTCGGTGTTCAATTGTAACGTATCAGAAAATGAGGGAAAGAAATGAAGAAACTGACAGGGTGAGGGAGGTAGAGAGGTGGAAAGGGTATGTGAGGAAAAGTGGTCAAGAGAAAGGGAAAGTTTAGAATGAGAGGGAGAAAATGAGACCAAGGAAAGAAGAAGAATAGAAAGTAAAAGTGCTTTGAATAGTAGACAAATTTAAGGTAGAAGGTTGCTGCTACCATCCATTCAAGTTAGTTAAATATAAGACAATGAATGGAACTTGTCTGCACAACAATATTATCTGACGGTATCACGAGTATGCTGTAAGCATGTGCTCGTATAACCAAGAATCATTGTCATAATCTTAAGCCAGTAAACTTCAGAGTGCTCTCCACTCTAGCTTGCAATATATCATAGAAAATTCAAGATCTATGGATCACAATTAAACGCAATTTAAAAAAGTAAGTTAATCAATTATATATTTCCTAGTAGATCTTCACTAATAGGGATATCATAATTCAACGATATCATTTGATGTTAAATGTCAACATTAATACACATTTTGAGTCACCACACAAGAAATTGAGAACACCTACGGCTCACTGCCCCTGAGAATCACACACCTAAATTGAAGACACAATATTCGTCACCTTACAAGTTCATTCACCAAAGTCTCTAAGACTAAGTTTGATAGAGAAAGGGGCGGAGGGGTAGAACGGCTGACAGAGTCTCCCACCCGGCCTGACAGGCCTAGTCTGGCTGAGAGAACCTCTCTCTCTGGAGCAGCGGTCTAGTTATCGCTGTCTTCAATATCTCAAATGTACAGTTCTACAAGTATATATGGGGAGCTAAGCTCCGCCTTCCAGGAGATATCCTCTAGCTATCTACCAATCCCACCTAGACAGCGGCTTGTTTGATGGAAAGACACAACCAACCAGCTGCAATTATGAGCTTAACAGAAAGCAAGGTCACTTCACACTACATGATCCGAAGGCAACCTGTTACATTTAACATCTGAAAGGCGTGATTCTAGGATAATTATAGAGCGACTTTCTGGCGTTTCCAATATCATGTGTGGCTGACTCTCGTTGTATGCAAAATAATATACAAAAACACATTTATGGTGTTACATAATCGCCGCCTGTTGAAGTGGTTGGACACCATACCTTCCTCCCCCCCCCCACATCCCAAATCCGTATCCTGACCCCTTACAAGTGCTATTATGTGAGATTCAGGAATCTAAATGTTAGATTCCTAGATTTGTTTGTTATCTAAATAGATTTGTTTGTTATCTAAATAGATTTGTTTGTTATCTATAGATTTATGTGAAATTTCGAAACGCTATGTGTCTTAGTGGCTTTGCATGAATGTAAAAATACCAATCTTATGTAATCTCACCAACCAATTGTACCTTCTTGCAAATATATTATTATTATTATTACTATATAGTCACAGTGACTTGGCGCTTTCCCTATTTCTTCCTTCCTTCTTCTTCAATAATATTATTTGTTAACACTGTTCATGCACATGAACACTGAGTGCAGTTTTAACATTCGGGAATACAGATTTTAAATTGTCTGAAATTAGGGAATACAGATTTTAAATTGTCTGAAATTATTTTTCTGTACAGTGTAGAGAGAGTCTCACAATTTTCATCAAATGCCATACAGTGCTTGAGCTGCACACTTTCATTTAAAAGGTCATCATAATTCAGGTTTTTGTGATGCATATTAGCCAGATGTTCAAACTTTTCTCTAGTGCATCAGAAGCAACGGATTTCAATTCACTGAAGTAAGAAAAAAAAATTTCAATCTGTGAATAAGCCTCGGCACGTTTTGTCAGTTCAAAGATTAGTGTCCATAATAGGGAGGAAAGTTTCCATCTTGAATTCTTCAGTTGTAATGAGAAGTACCTCTTCTGCTGATCCATCATATCTACTAAGACTCGCACTCGTTTTCGATCCCGTTTTTCCCCATCACTGTAATTTTTATCTGGACACATACTCCTGGCTTTGAATTCATATTCACTAAATTTGTCTCTAGTTTCCTGTAGATAGGTTTTCATAGACTCAAGAAGATTCGTAGTAACAAGGATGTTCACACCCTTTGAACTATTTTCCTTGCTTCTTGCACTGAAATGTGTACAAGTTTCCTAACTTGATACATTAATTGTAAGTGACTCTTTATCATCCTTAATTGCTCTCAACTCTTTAAGACCTAACCGTAACATGGTCGTGTCTGAAGCTAGACACAAGTACAACAAAATTATTAATGATGGTAACAGAGTCCATTTCATGTGAACTCCATCTCATGTTGGCCTCCAAATGCATGATAGAGCTGATGAGTTAGCCAAAAAATCTGCCTTTAAATTAAAGGAGAAATTGAGTATAACTTTGGATTGCCAATAAGCTGTTTGAGGAGTGTGGTGGCAACCAGCCAGGTCGGACGTCCCACTGGTCTCCCTGCTGGTGTTTACATTGGGCGATTGTTGGTTGCCCTGACGGGAGGTTGTTTGCCACTGCAAGGTGACTGTTTTTCAGTCTCAGTATGGGGACTTACGTGCCGCCACTAAGAAGGAAGGACTCATCTGGGCTGACAATTACCTGTCGGGTGAATATTGGCGTCGTCAGCAACACTCTGTTTGCAGTTATGGGTGTGAAAGTGAAGGATCTCATCGGTCTACAGGTTGTTCGTGATGTTACGAACCCGGATCCAGCGTCCGAGCACGGAGCAGTAACGACCACGCCATCTGTGGGTCAGCTCCCGAAACCCCCGCCAAACGGACGACGACACCTGGTGAGGACAAGGTGAACCAGCCACAAGGGCCAGTTTCCAGTCCTGTGCAGCTCACAATACAGCCGCTCCTGACCTCTGGTGAGGTGGTGCTCCGACGACAGCGCCATCTATGGACTGGATACGTCAGGTGTTTGTGCCCGAGCCCGTAAGTGAGGTGTTTTAGTGTGTCCCAGTCATTGATGACGTGTCTGTTTACAGAGTCGACCTGGGACCGCTGTGTTGAAGGTTGAGTCAGTCTACCCGAGGCAGCCAGTCTCCATACCTTGAACCTTGCTGCAGCTGTTGTGAAGTCGTCCCCCCGGAAGAACACTGTGGTGTGTTAGCCTGCCAGTGGAGTGGCAGTAAAAGGATTTACCCGGGACCGACTGTTGGAGACGATCATCCACTGGGGTACGGAAGACAGGAGAGTGATTTGTGGTGTCACACGAGGCTCCTGTCTAGGGCGTTCCCCTTTTATCGTTCGTGGAGTGGCCTGACCAGCTTGGTTGGCTCAGAACCTGCCAGCAGACCAGCTGGACGTGTGGTTGACGGCCTCCACGGCGGTGCCCCCAGTGGACATGTGTTTTGGCTGACCTGTGGCCAGGGTAGGCTCAGCTTCTTTGAAGAATTCGTTGTGTGGCCACAAAGAAAGCACCGAGGACTCAGCGCCTAGCTTCTGGATCCAGAGTCTTCAGCAGAAGACTACATTGTGAAGAATCCCCTTGTCAAGTGTTAATACCCCTCCCCCTTGTGCACTCATTTATTTTATATATTTAATCGGTGATGGTAATAATTATAATATTAAGTTCTTAGCTTTCTTTCCCTACTCCCTTTAAGTTACTTGCGTCACGGATCTCATCCCTTAATAGCCACTACTGGCTTGGGAACGGATATATATATCTTCCTCTAACAACATCAGAGTAAGGACCCCGTTGCGTCCCGAGAGGGCCGTAACACATGACGACAGAGTAGTTGTGAAGTTCGCCAAGAGTGGCTTGTTCCGGAGGTTTCTCGACCAGTATGAGGACAAGGTGGTGGGGCTGAGCAACGGTCTTGGCTCTGTGACTGTGACGAACTTGAGTGTGGAGTTCACATACATGTCTATTAAGAATGCGCCTTTTGAAATGTCTGAGGATCTTCTCCGTCGGGCTCTTGCCAGGTATGGGCGCGTGGACTCTATTCGTGCCTGTAGATACACAACCGGGGACGTCAAGGGACTCGGTAATGGTTACAGAACGGCTAAGATTGTTCTTCATGGGAATGTGCCTTCTTCTCTTGCGCTTGCTGGCTTTACGGTCTGCTTCTCCTACCGTGGGCAGACTCGGACGTGTTTTAAATGTGGCCACGTTGGACATTTGGCTGCTGCATGCGACACTCGGTTGTATGATCGGGTAAATGTGTTTCGTAAAGCGGATTTTCCTCCCTTGCCCGAGAGTAAGGATGTCTCGGTTGTGGATGGTACCCCTTGTGTGTTGGCTGCCGCTCCAGTAAGTGCGGTTGGTGGTGTGGGTGTCGGGGTGGTGGGGGCTGCGGACCCGCCCCTGCTGTCGGCTTCCTTGCCTCCGCCGGCTCCGTCGCCTCCGCCAGCTCCTTCGCCTCCACCGGCTCCTTCACCTCCACCAGCCCCATCTCCAGCTCCTGTGTCGCCTGAAGGGTGTGGGGTTGTACCCCATGTGGGTGAGGCTGATGTTTTTCCGGATCGTGTGTTGCCCGGTGACTTACAGCCGGCCGTGGGCTCTACTGGGATGCCTCCTGCTGGGGGCGACAGTTCGGATGATCAGAGGCCTCTGTCCAAGCGTTCCCAGAGGACTAGGAGTGTGTCGCCCCCTCGTGGGTGGGCTGCAGAGTGTGAAGATGTGAATGCTGATGATGTGATGGAGGGGCCTGTGTGGCCTCCTTTGGCGCCTGCGTTGCCTGCTGCTGGTGCCTCCCCTCCTTGGGAGGTTGCCCCTAGTGGTCGTGACCTCGTGGTGGTCCTCACGAAAACTGTGCGCCAGGAGGCCTCTGATCCTATGCCCGGTGGTAGGGGCCCTGGCAGGTGTGCGTTCTCTTTGGTTCCCCCTGGAGTGAAAAATCGTGTGAATATCAGTACGGACCTCTGGCTACCCTTGTCTGTCCCCTGGTGCTCGAACCCCTAGTGCTGCACCCGTCCCTGTGGTACCGGCCAATGGGGTCCCGCTCGAAGCGTCCCAGGCTTTGGAACTTACTGTGGATAGCCGGGTGTATCCGGCGCCATGGTGCCCCTATACTATTTGGGTACCAAGGGTGAAGTGTTTTGTTTATGGGGTGCTGGAGCTGATGCCTCAGCCTTGTGCATCGCCTGGTAGACCGGTGTCTGATGATGTCAATCTCGTTTGGGAGGCATACTGCTTGCGGTTTCCGAAGAGGGAGTTTCCCGATAAATATGCGTAGTTTTGTGCTTGCATTATATGCTCCCAGAACGTTTATAACTTATTGTATTGTCTGCTATGTGGTTGTTTTGTTTGCCTAATGTAGGCCTTTGTGTAAATAGATTTTTGTGTTTTGTTCATACTGAAATGTGTTTCCGTGTGTGTTAGACTGTTATCTTCTGTGTTGTGTTTCTAATGGTGTTCTGTGTGTGTGCTTCTGGTATGTGTGTGTTTTTTTTTTTTTGTCGGGTCCTGCGTGTTCCGGTATTTTTTTCGTGTGTCTGGGTTGTGGTTGCCGTTTGTTTCACGGTTCCTGTGTTTCCAGTCGGACGATCGCGTGTTTCTGTACTGTGTGTGCCAGGTGTTCCGTGGGTTGTGTGTGTGTATTGAAAATTTGTATTATTTTGTGCCTTTGCTTCTGGATGTTTATTTTGTGCCATTGTGTGGTTTTTAATGTATGTCACTTGGCGCGCCCCGTCTGGGTTGTGCGGTTTCTTATTGTGTTTTCTAATGAATTTTGCTTGTTTCATGGGTTCTCATTTACGTTTGCTTTATGAAATTTGTCCACTGTGTTTTTATTGTGTTCAATATGTTCAGCTTTTGGTGTGACATTTGTATTATACTTGTTCTGTGTTGCTTGCATGTTAATTGGTGTTATGTTGTTGGGTGGTGTGTGCTGGTGTAAGGTTTTTCTTTTGGTGCTTCGGTGCCTTCATGTTGTAATGCTTTCCTTGTCATGTATTTGTTTTATAAATAAAAAAGAAAAAAAAATAAGCTGTTTGAGAGCAATAGTACACCAAGAACTTCAATAAAATCTTGTAGATCCGAGGCAAAGTAAAAACAACACCAGTAATTTCATCTATCCTCATACTATCATGCAAGAGGAGCCACACATCTATGGATCATCCAATAAAATCAGCAGACATATAGATATTACTACTTCTCGGCTTAGACTCGGTTACAAGTATCTCTGGGAATGTTCATATTCTGCTGATGTAGACCTGACCAAAATGTAAACTGTGTCAACAAAATTATTCGCACACCCTCCGTCACTATGTGATGGAGTGCGAAAAGATAACGTGACTTCAGAGACAATTCTATAACAAATGTTCCAGAGATGTGTAAATATTTAATTCAAAATGATCTGCTACCAGAAATTTTAGCCAAATATCCCCAGTTTCCTAACTGTAGGTAGTAACTAAGTGATTGTAACCAATCCGCCGCTGCCCACTGGATGGGGGGCGGTGTGCAGGACAAACATATCAATTGTGACACTAGCTCTCCACATATGTCAATTGTTTAATTTAGAAACTGTACTTGTGGTCGATCTCGAACCCATTGATGATGTGACGATGAGTATTGAATTTTGTAACTAGCTCATCAAGATTGTAACTTGCTTAGCTAAATGAATTGTGGGGTTCAGTCCCTGAACTCATTATGTGCCTCTGTAACCCTTTCCACTACAGCCCACAAGATAGGTATGGGGTGTATAATAAATGAAGGAAACTAAAATTTACAAGACCTAAATATTTAAACATTCTGCTTCCATAATGGACGTGTACTATGCTCGTGGACCCCCGGGCAAGTGCCCATCGGGACCATGCGGTAAGACAGCTCTTCATTGGGCGAAGGTCAGGCATACTTCCTCCCTCACCGGGATGGTGGGCGGGGGCTCCTCACCAGTCGAGCTCTTGGACGGGGGGGGGGGGGGGAGTAGTAATCACCAGCCTTCCTGTTTTTATTTTTTTGTTTTTTTTGCAGGGAAATTCCTGCACGGGCCCTGAGCCTCTGGCTGGCCCACTAAGATTTTCTTGTTTCTGTTTTACTTAGGCGGAATATGAGTATTTATGACTCGTATGTTCGCTTCAGTAAGATTTTGCCCCATGTGTTTAACAACTTCATAAATCTATGTTGAAATCTTAATGGGTTTGTAACTGCACTGGACTGTGTTAGATAATGTTCTAGTGGTCTGTTGGGCATTTCTCCACAGTGCTGATATTTCTTCTCATCTTCTGGAATCTGTAAGCCTATTTCCTATGCACATGGTTATCCAAGCCTGATGCAATGTAAGTGTACTTCTGTTGTTCTACTGCTCTCGTTCATCAAAATAAGTGGTTCGTAGTTGGTTGAATTCTTGTACCAACCCGCAGATCCTGATGTTGCAACTACTGTGTTGTGGTCTTTGTACATCTTTTGCATTGCTCTATTTCTAATTATTTTCTTAATCTGTGATAGACTCTGTGATATGTAAATGACTACATTTCTTCCCTTAGTTGCAAGTTTTGCAGCTTCATCTGCAATGTCATTTCCTATTATTCCCACATGACTTGGCACCCAGTTGATAAGTACCCGACGGCCTTGACCTTTAAATGTTTGGATTAATGATATGATATTTGTGATCAGACGGATGTTGTCACGTATGTGTTCTTGTTGCAAGGTTTCAATGGCAGTTCTCGAATCTGTATGTATGATAACATGTTGTCAGTGTTTGGTATTACGATGATGTTGTTAGTGTTGGTCGTCCTTCCTTTCGGACAACCAACCCAAAATTCCGTAGAGTGCTTATTCTGTCCAGGAGATCACCCTGAATGCTTCTGACACTTGGAGAGGCGCTCAACGTCACACGTTTAGGGGATGCAGCTCCAACACTAGCCTCGTTGTCACGTGCACACACCCACTGGAGCTGCCATGATTCCCCACTCTCTGAGAGTAACCCCAGTCCACAAATGTGGTGATCTCACTGATGTCAACAATTACAGACCTTTCTCAATTCTGCCAACCTTGTCAAAAATATTTTAAAAGCTAATCTACAAGCAGCTTTATTCATATCTAGCCAAACTCAACATACTTAGCTCTTGCCAATATGGTTTCAGACCCAATAAAAGCACTAACGATGCACTTATTAGTATGATTAACTTGATGCATACAGCTTTTGATAAAAATAAGTTCCCTGTTGGGCTATTTGTGGACCTATGTAAGGCTTTTGACACTGTCAACCACCAAAACCTTCTTAAATTGCATCATTATGGAATCAGAGGTCACTCCCTGCAATACCTTCAGTCTTACCTTACTGACAGGCACCAGTATGTTTCTGTGATTAATTCTATTTCTTCCACCCTACCCATCAACATTGGTGTTCCTCAGGGCAGCATACTTGGCCCTCTCCTCTTTCTCATCTACATTAATGACCTTCCAAAGGCCTCTCAACACCTCAAACCAATCTTATTTGCTGATGACACAACTTTCATTTTCTCCAGTCCTGACCCGCTTGCTCTAAATGTCATTATGAATACTGAACTTAATAAAATCCATCTTTGGCTAACTGCTAACAAACTCACCCTTAACATTGACAAAACTTTCTATATTTTGTTTGGTAATTGTCATGTTCACAGAAAATGGTACCATCCATTTTCTATGTGCGGCGGAGCAGACGCCAGAGAAGGTAAACAAGAGCACACAGGATGCTACCAGCTTGGAAGCAGCTAGTCATGAAATTGTTTATATACGTATTAAAGTCAGTAACCAACAATGGCTTTACATCAACCCTACAATCAAGACTTCCTCAGTAACACACAAACACCACAGTAATAAATCCTTAAATAAAATTAATCTAAGAATAAACAATATACAAATCAGTAGTAAAGTTGATGGTAAATTCCTTGGTGTCCTCATCGACAACAAACTGAATTTCCAGGGACACATTCAAAATATAGCAAAAACAGTTTCTTAAACTGTTGGCATTCTTTCTAAGATCAGATATTATGTACCTCGCCCTGCCTTAGTGACGCTCTATTACTCTCTCATCTATCCATATCTCAATTATGGTGTTTGTGCTTGCGGTTCTACTACCCAAAATCATTTACGTCCTCTAATTACCCAACACAAAGTTTCTATTAGAACAATATCTAACTCTGGCCCCAGACTGCACTCGGTACCCTTACTCAAATCTCTGAATATGTTAGATATTAAGTCACTGCACCTCTCATGTGTACTCTATATATTTAAAACTCTGAACTGTAATGTCAATCCTGACCTTGAAAGCTTCTTAGAAGGTTGTAACAGAACACATGGGTACCACACCAGAAACAAATACCTATTTGATATTCCAAGAGTACGAGTTAATCAAACTAGAAATGCTCTACAAATCAAGGGACCCAGAATGTGGAATGACCTTCCCAATCATGTCAAAGGCTGAACCTCTTTCAACCAGTTTAAGATGAAAACTAAGTACTATCTAATTAACTCCATGTAACCTACCTTACCCCTAAATGTCAAACCATGTCTTACTATTTTTAAACAATGCTATTTGTTGACCAACTTGTATATTGGCTATTTTCTACCATGTTCCCCCCCCTTTTTAATCTTTTATTTTATTTTCTTTTCAACGCAATTTATACTTTAAGCTCAATTACTATTAAGTTTTAGTCTATGTGCTTTTTCCCCCACCTCACCTTGCCCGAAACGCTATGCGTAATAGTGGCTTTAGGTATTGTATGTACTACCTCTATCTATAAATCAATCAGAATGTTTGTAACTCTGCATCTATGTATGTACCTTTCCTAAATAAATTATTATTATTATTATTATTATTATTATTATTATTATTATTATTATTATTATTATTATTATAATGCGAGGACGCTTTGGGTAGATTTGGGTAGCTTTGGGTAATTATACAGACCCGTTCATTCCCCACTTGTTAGGTCAAGTCGGATGATCGCCACCGTGGTAACTAGTGCAAGAACTTATGGTAATTGTGGTACTATTTTATACAAGAGTAAGATTAGGATTGACCAGACCACACACTAGAAATTGAAGGGACGACGACGTTTCGGTCCGTCCTGGACCATTCTCAAGTCGATTGTGATGGGGAGGTAGGGACAGGCGTTAAATAGGCAAGAGAGAGCTGAGGAGGAAAGTCAGGTGTAGGGGATAGTAGTAATGAGAACTGCAGCAGGCCTGCAGTTGGCAGGCCTGCAGTAAAATTACTGCTGCAGGCCTGCTGCAGTTCTCATTACTACTATCCCCTACACCTGACTTTCCTCCTCAGCTCTCTCTTGCCTATTTAACGCCTGTCCCTACCTCCCCATCACAATCGACTTGAGAATGGTCCAGGACGGACCGAAACGTCGTCGTCCCTTCAATTTCTAGTGTGTGGTCTGGTCAACATACTTCAGCCACGTTATTGTGACTCATCGCCTGCATCCAGTGTATCTGTGTATGTTGTGATCTCGTGGAGCTTGGGAATATATTTATTTGATTGTTAGGTGAGTCAAAGTTTTGGGACTTGGTAATATGTCTTGTTTCAATAGTGTGTGCAAATTACAATATATCTAAGTTTAAGACTATAGAAATATATCCCTTTATGAACTCTGAGCTACTAATTGCCAAAGCCTTTCCCTGATATTGAAGTGTCTAGCCTGTTGAATGAAATTTAACCTCTGTATAAGGAATGTCCTGGAACCACCAGGTATAACACAGTCTTACTGGCCCTTGAGAAGGCTGACTGTCCTTAGCGGTCATTATATCAACCCTCACCTCATTTATTAAGAAAAAAAGAGTATAAAAGAAGCTCTTTTAACACTAGCATTTTGTAAACAACCTTACAAGAGGTGTGAGGGGGGGGGAAGGAGAGGGGGATGTTGGGGGAAAAAGGTGAGAAGGGGTTGTTAGGGAAGAAAGGTGAGGATGAAAGGGGTGATCAGCCCTTTTCCCAATCTTGCATGAATTTATTTGGCATCTTGGTGGCATTCAAACTACGTTTAGTTATTGCACAGCCTTATTCTCTCTTAACAATTGTCAAGCAGGGCCTCTACAGCTTCCCATACCTTAAGGCCTCATCATGTCTAAGACAAAGGATCTAAATTACAGCCGATGAGTCACAATAACGTGGCTAAAGTATGTTGACCAGACCACACACTAGAAGGTGAAGGGACGACGACGTTTCGGTCCGTCCTGGACCATTCTCAAGTCGATCTAAATTACAGATTTTCCTTGCAATTTAAAATTTGGTACTATATAACTCACTCAAGTCACTCTACACTGATTACACTATATGATTCACTCATCTCTCTGTATCTTACTTAACAGTGTCTGCATCAAGAGATCTACAACTCAAAACTACCTCAGATATAATGCTAAAATAAAGTCAGCTAGCAGAATAATAAGAAACTAACCTGACTTCATGTAGTAGCCTTATTTAAATCTTTGAATTAGCTAAATATAAAAACACTACGCACATTATAATGTGTGCTCTATATCTTGTAAACTTTTAAATTGTATAATAATAATCCCAATTTCATTTTACACAAGGTTACAACATAACTTAGAGATACTGCTCAAGAAGCAAGGATCTTTTCTCTGCCCTCAGAGTCCTACTAAACAAAGCATAATTACATGCAAATAACAAGTACTAAATTGTGGAATAGCCTCCTAAATGCAATAAAATACTGTACTCTCATTAATAAATTTAAAAGGACACAAAGAAATACCAATTGACATATATTGTCCAATTTATTAATATAACAATCTACATGGTGCAAGTTTTCCCAAAGAGTTTTCGTACTCAATATGCTAATAATTTTTGCTGTGAATTTTTGCTTCCTCCCACAACTGGTCTTAAATACTGGAAGCATACGGCTGTAGAAATTCTCACTAATTAAACAATATTTACCACCAAAAATTTACCTCTGGCATTAAATATGAACTTGAACCTATTAAAAATTAGCTTAAATTTGTATATATTTATTTACTATAAAACTTATTTTCTAAACCCAAACATTAATTTTAATGTCTGAATCACTATTCGTGATTAGTGACTTGCAAAAAATATATAAAGTCTATGCTATGAATTTCTTACCATTTAACATCCCTGAATTATTATTTATCATTATTAAATTACCATCTAAGAGTGCTGCCCCTGCTGTTGCACTACCCATAGCTCTGCTGCTCAACAAATCTCTAGTGTCATACTTTTCCTAATACAGTATCCTTAAAAAGCACGAGTAACGCCAGTTGATAAAGGAGGCGAGACAGCTGACATAAACAATTACAGACCAATATCACATCTACCTATGCTTTGAAAAAAATCTGAAAAATGTATTTACAAACAGCTCTATTCCTTCGTTGTAAAAGTCAAAGTATTAAGTCCCTGCCAGTTTGTTTTCCGTTCCCAAAAGAGTACCAATGATGCCATTACTAGTCTACTTAGTATAATCTACACAGCCCTTGAGAAAAAAAAAGAGTTCCCATTTGGCCTCCTCATTGACCTAAGAAAGGCTTTTGATATTGTAAACCATAACTATATTTTGCTTAAACTTTGCCACTATGGTATCTGAAGCCTTGCTCTGAGCTATATTCGTTCCTGTCTCAGTGATACACCAATATGTAGTCATCAATAACATAACCTCCCGCACTCTACCATTAATAGTAGGAGTGCCCCAGGGCAGCATCTAAGTAGTACCTCTCATATTTCTTGTATACACCAATGATTTGCCAAATGTTTCTAACATTCTTAACCCTATACAGTAGTAGTAGTAGTAGTAGTAATAATAATAATAATAATAATAATAATATTAATAATAATAATAATAATAATAATAATAATGATGATAATAATAATAATAATTTTTATTCGCAAGAAGGTACAATGGGATTATGAGATTACATAAAAATTTTATTTTTACATTCTTGCAAAGCCACGAACACGCATAGCGTTTCGGGCAGGTCTTTAATCTAACATTATCAGGTAAGATGAAAAGATACATTGTAACAAAATTTTTTATCAACCTAAAACTACAATATAACGTGACAGATATGATTACACTGGTGAAGATATGTCTTAAGTACTAATATTGGTGAAGTGGGTAGTACAAGATACAGTCTTGAGTTTGAAGTACAAGGTAGGAAACTGTGGGGATGAAATTAAGTACTTTTTGGTTTTACTTTTGAATAAGACATAGGTTGATTTTTTTAATTCATTAGGGAGTGAGTTCCATAGACTGGGTTCTTTTATTTGCAAGGAGTGTTTGCACAGATAGATGAAGGTAGTATCATAAGCAAATAGTCAAGTTTTTCATTTGGACGTTGTTGGCGGCGTAACGAAACAACTCTGATACTCCTCAAAATTTGTTAGCTGCTCCTTGAGCCCACATCTACCCACAGATGATGTAGCATCTCCAGGAAGCAGCTAAGTAGCTAAGTCCACAGTGACCCAAATGTAATTGAAACTAACGTCTAGACCAACCCTTAATACCCCATTTCATCTTCATCTTCAAAAGACCTACATTCTATTTGGTAGTAAATCATCAAATCAAATTCAATTTCAGATTGATAATGTTAACTCTAGTAAAAACTATGAGAGAAAGTTCCTTGGCCCATACATAAACAAGGGCTGAACTTCAGCACCCACATACAACACATTACCAAAAAGTCTCTCAACAACGGTCAGTATATTCTCTAATATCAGATATTATGTTCCTCCACTCTGCTCTCCTCTCATTATACTATGCGCTAATCTATCCCTATCTTACATACGGTATCTGTGCATGGGGTTCAACCACTGCAAATTACCTCAAGCCCATCATCACTCAGCAAAAATCTGCTATCATAACTATAACAAACTCTGTCTTCAGACAATGCACAGCCCCTCAGATTAAGTCCCTTAATATGCTAAAAATGCACTCACCATCAAAATAAGCCACACATTCTCACGTGTTATTTACATTTACAAAACCTTGTTCCTAAACGCTAATCTTGATCTAAAATGTTTCCTTGATAGGTGTAATAGAACCCATGAGCACCACACCAGAAATAAATATATCTTTGATATTCCCAGAGTCAAACTAAATCTGTGCAAACACTCCATGTAAATAAAAGGACCCAGTCTATGGAAGTTACTACCTAATGAGTTACAAAATTGTTCAACCTATGTCTTATTCAAAAGTAAAACCAAAAAGTACCTAACTTCATATTCATAGTTTCCTACCTTATGCATAATAGTGGCTTTGCAAGAATGTAAAAATACCAATCTTATGTGATCTCCCAATCACATTGTACCTTCTTTATATATATAATATATATAACTGAAAACTCACACCCCAAGAAGTGACTCGAACCCATACTCCCAGGAGCAACGCAACTGGTATGTACAAGACGCCTTAATCCACTTGACCATCACGACCGGACATAATGAGGTGATAGCCGAGGCTATTTGAACCACCCCACCGCCGGCACTCGGATAGTAATCTTGGGCATAGCATTTTACCAAATCACCTCATTCTT